TGGGCTTTACTCACGAGGAAATGGAGCTAGATGACTACAGAGGTGTAAAAAGAGTAGCCAGCAGCTCTAATAGTGATGTGGGGTCTGTTGCTAAACGTCTGAGAGACGTAGCTGACTGTGCAGACTTTGACAGCGAAGAGGAAGAGCTGGACTGGACTAAAGTTCAGGAAGTAATGGATGTTCTTAACGCCCCCACGTCTAGCGATGAATTCCAGGGTTTTAATGATGTTACTTTGCAGGATGGAGCCCGAAGTGCTGAGTGGCAGCAATGGCGTGGCTTCAATTCACCTGAGGGTTTAGATCCAGCTGAAAGCAGCTCCAGCGATTCGGATGAAATTTAAGGAGCGGTTTGGGGACCATCTAATCGCAGAGTTCAAAGTGTCGCATGCTGTGTGCTTTGTGTTAACTCCTGCCGTGAGCTCTTGTTGCAGCTTCGTGTTCCTGTTCGTGTGATCATCCCTGCCGGACCCTGACTCGTGAGTGTGCCTTGTTCTGACCCTCGGACTGCCTGACTACGCCTCTGCCTTGCCCCAGAATCTTCGTTGGACCGCTCTCCATACGGAGTGTTGTTTGCTGATTTGTTGCTGTTGTTTTGGACTATGTTTGTATGCTGAAGACAAGCTGCCTGTTTGTGTTAAAGACTGCCTTTCCTTTCGCTGACTGAAGCCGGTTTGTTTACATTACTGCTGACTGCAAGCTCCTTTTGTTTATTCCTCTGAAGTGAAGAGCCCTTTTGTTTTGTTAAAGAGACATTAAACACCTTCAATTAACTCCTGCATTGCTGTTTTGTCCTGCCGCTGGACCTGGGTCTTGACAGAGGAGGCACAATGTATTTATTGCTTTTAGTAATTAAACAGTGTTCCTAAAAAATTACGTTACAGCTAATATTGTAAGTAGTTACAGGTAAAAGCTCAAAACTACCTTCTAAAAGAAAACAGGGCTTTAAAGGAATGCAAGCTGTTTCCAATAGTTACATTCCTCCTTTTCATTCTTTGAAGCAGATTTGCTAGAAATCCCAGTGAAAAGATTGGTTGGTTTATTAAGCAGATATAGAGAGCTATAAAGATGACACTTTGAGATTTCTATCTATGAGTTAAAGCAATCTAAATATCTTGTACTTGTATCACCTCCCATGCTGATACTGAGCCTTTAAGACAATGGCTCTCAACCTGAGGGTCCCCAGGTGTTTTGGCCTACAACAGTTTACCAGCTGTTAGAATTTCCAGGAGTTGAAGGCCAAAACATCTGGGGACCCACAGATTGAGAACCACTGCTTTAAGAGAATCAATTCCAGAAACATTTTACTGCCACTATCTTTGCAATGGAGGGAAAGATGAAGAGGTAGCAACAGCTCCATCATGCTGAAACCTAGAAACAGATGAAAGGTCTCCCACCTCCACTCCTAACTTTGACTGCCCTGGCCTTGGAAGGATAGAAGCAGGCACAATTCCATCGTGCCTAGGCCTTGATGCAGATGAAAGTCCCTTCCTCCATTAAAATGAAATAATTCAGGTGAGGCAGAGGTGCCCTGTCAATAGGAGGCCATATCATAAATTACTTTCATCTATTTCACTATCATTTGAGGAAATAAATAAGGCATTATGTTTCATTCTCCTCTCTGCTCATCCACAGTGATTCAATGAGAAGTCATCATTTGAACAGCTTGCTTTTAAAATAGTTTTTCATGTCCTTCAATCTACTTTTCAGTGATTGCTAGGATGTTTGTAGTACTATATTATCTAAATAAATCAAGATCAAAAAATTGCTTTTGATGTCATATGAATGTCCTGTTGGCTTCTGGGGATTAAAAGCTGTCGGAAAAGTTGAGGGGTCGCAACAGACATAACATATGAATGTGGACTCCTAGTGTTGTAGTAAAGCCTGTGAGTAACATTACAAACAGTAGTGTGGGTGCCAGAAGGGAAAAAGGCTTACTTGGGAGCAGGAATCTGATGATGAGCAGCAGAGAAAGAGGATCCGGGACATATTTACAGCACCTACAGATGAGGAGTCATTTGAAGGATTCTCTGGGGATGATGGGTCAATGAGTGAAGGAGAAGAAGGAGACACCTTGGATTGGACTAAGATAAGAGAAGTGCAAGCTATTTGTGAGGAGTCAACAACTAGTGATACCTTTATGGGGCTCTCTGGGGGTGACGAATGGCAGTCAGGGGATCCAACTGAGTTTTGGGGGATCTAAGTCTTGACAGGAGATAGAGGACTTGGAGGTGGATCACGTGAAGAGCTGGAAGCAGCTGCGGGGGATAATGATGGGGCGGTGGTCAGTTTATCTTCTGATGATGATTTCTAAATAAAAGTGGGTTCAGGGATGAGGGGTCCTAGCAGAAGGCAAGGTGTTGAAGTGTGTTCGTGTTTTGGGTGCTGTGTGACTTGCTGCTGCTAGTTTCGTGTTCGGTGTTGGTTTGGGATCTGCAGTTTGAATCTCTTGATCGTTTGCTTTTTATTGACCTGGATTGGCTTCTCGTGAGTGTGGACTTCTCCCTTCCTGGATTGGCTTGGGGAGGGACTCTGGAGCTGTGCTGTTTTGGATTTCCCCCACTTCGACCCTGGACTTCGGCTGATGATGCTTTGTTTCCTGCGGTTCCTCCTTTTGTTAACCAGCTGTGTACTGTGCCTTTTTGTTTGACCTCAGAACGCTTTGTTTGATTCGTTTCTTTTATCCAACTAATTCAGATTATATTCCTGTAAACTCTTTTTGAACCAGGACTGGTTGTTTCTTGAGTTTTGACCAGTGGCACTGCATTTAAGTTCCTCTGCGTCCTTTTTCCTTTGTTTTAATAAACTCTGTATTGAAGTCACTTTTGTGTCTGGCCCTTTAAGGTGTCTGTGATTCTAACACCTGTACTCGAGCTGACACATGGAGAGAACTATTCCTCTTGGCATTCTGAGGATAGGGATTTGGCTAGTGTTAAATAGGGTTACATTAACACTGGGGACACAGGCTCAGTCAGCTTTGAACCTGGAGACTCAGGTTTCTGCAATGACCACAATTAGGTAAAGGTAAAGGTTGTGCCCTAACATTATGTCCAGTCGTGTCCAACTCTGGGGGTTGGTGCTCATCTCAATTTTTAGCTGAAGAGCCAGCATTGTCCATAGACACCTCCAAGTTCATATGGCCAGCATGACTGCATGGAAGGTCGTTACCTTCCCACCGGAGCAGTACCTATTGACCTACTCACATTTGCATGTTTTCGAACTGCTAGGTTGGCAGAAGCTGGGGCTAATAGTGGGAGCTCAGGCCACTCCCTGGATTCGAACCTGCAACCTTTCGGTCAGCAAGTTCAACAGCTCTGCGCTTTAACTGTGCCACCGGGGGCTCCTGACCGTGATTACTCTTGTACATTTAAAAATTGTGCACCAACTGTGCCCATTCCTTAAGACATCAGATCTGGCTAAAGTGGTTCATGCCTCGGTTATACCCTCTTCAGAGTACTGTAGCATGTTTCGAAACTGCAGCTGATCCAGAGAGTTGCAACTATATTGCCAACTATGCCTGGTTACAGAGATAACTCTCTTGCTGCAAAAGCTCCACTGACTGCAAGTTTGGGCACAATTCAATGTGCTGGTTATATGGCTAGGTCTAGGCTTCCTGGCTGATTGTTTTTCCTTATATAGTCAGTAGGGGTCCTTCTTTCAGTCCCAACAGCATTGTAAGCACTGTTGGTGGGGACATGATGAAAGGCCTTCTCCGTGGCTGCTTGTAGACTCTGGAACTTTCTTCCCAGAAGAACAGAATTGCCTCCTCTTTGTTCTTTAATTGGTAGGCTAAAATCTTTTTATTTAGTCAATTTTTAAGGCAGATTTTTTTAAAGAATGGGCTATGAAAGGCTGTACTGTTTAAAATAAACTGTTTTTTTGTTATGTTATTCTTTTACTGAGGTGTAACATTTGTTTCAATACTATCAATAGTTTAATTCTACTTTAATATTCAATTTCTGTATGGTTTTAGTAAATTGTTCATTGAGTATGGTTTTAGTATATTGTTCATTGTGAACTGCTATGAGTTTAAATTTTTGTGGGAAAGAACAATATAAATATTAATATCCTCCCAACTACCACTGCTACATCAGAAGGAAAGCAGGAGGCAGAGCTCCATTATGTCTATTCCAGAAGAAGAAGATGATGATGATGATGAAGAAGAAAGACTCTCACTTTCCTCCATCCCAACGGTCACTGCCTCGGCTTTGGAGAAAAAGTCAATACCTGCTGGACTCAAACCTTTCACATTTTCATTTTGTGTTGGATCTGGCCACAGTAGTACACACATTGGTTACATCCAGCTGGATTACTGCAATGCGCTCTTATGTGGGGACTGCCTTTGAAAAGTGCTCAGAAATTTCAATTGGTCAAAATAGTAGCAGTTATGTTATTAACTGGGGTTGTCTACAGGGAGCAACCAACTCCCCAGCTCATTTCCAGACACAATTCAAAGTGCTGGTTTTTATCTATAAACCCCTATATGGTTGAGCTCAGGCTATCTTTTTATGAATCTATCTGAATACTAGTTAACTGGAGAGGTCCTTCTCTCTCTGTCCCACTACTCTCTGAAGCTTATTTGATGGTAACAAGGAAGAGAGTCTTTTCAGTTCTTGCTTCCAGACTCTGGAACTCCCTTCCCTAGAGACCAAGGTGGCTCTGTCCCTGCTTGACTTTCAAGATCAGGATAAAACCCTATTTTGCCATCAAGCATTTATAGTCTGAGAAGGGCTTTCAGGGGTGGTGTGATTGAGATGTTGGTGCAGGTGTGGAGTTTTAATAGATTTTAATATTTTAATGTATAAGGGTTTTAATGGCAGAAATTGTTTTAATTTTTATATTTTAATGCATTTACATTGTTTTAATTTTGCATTATTTATTGTTAGTTGCCTTGAACTAACAGAAGGAAGGCAAGATAAAACAAGAGAAAGGAAAGATAAAATTAAGTAAATAACACACACGTATATACATGCATAGATAGATTGAGATACATTTAAAGTTACCTTTTCTACAGAACTATCATTTTTATGAGATTTTATTGTAGAAGATAAAGAAACATTATTCTCTGCACTAAAATTCATTATGTTCCTCTCAGGTATCGAGAAAATATTATTTCTTTCCGCTGAGCTCATAATCTGAAGAGGTTTTTTAATCCGGCATCGTCGTGGGGTTGCTGTAAATAAACCATTATTTAATAAAGTTTGTATTTGGGTTTTTTCCCCTCACACAAACCATGGGCTTCATAATTTGTAAGAGTATGGGTTAGGATTATTTTTGCCATGTTTTTCAGCTATACAATATACATTAGTAGGTTTATCAGTAGGGCTAGTAGTAAAGTACTACTTGAGGGAATGTCTTTTAAAATCTAACAACCAATTTCTTATAGCCCATAATAAGCAATTAATGTATCTCAAACAGAACTAAGGCACAGAGGAATAATCACTATGAAAGAGATCTAAAATTATTTTGTCACATTCAAAATCTGCATCTTTTATTAAAACTGGAAATGAAAATGTCTCCTCTCTCGCAAAGATGAGACCTAGTAGTATACACTGAAGTGTCCAGATGTGACAACTTTGATTTGATGAGATTACACTGAAGTAGATATAGGAATGCCTACTCTGTACCCTTAAGAGCCAGCTGTAAACATCCATTTAATTCTTTGAATATTTTCACACTAATGTTGAATTTTAAGCAACATATCACACAAATATCCGCCAACACATCACACTTAATTTTACAATAATCACAATTAGTAGAAGTAGGAGATGTGATTTAAATGTAAAATAAAATCCTATTTTCTACATGAAAATAACGCATGCACAAATAAAATCTACAAGTAACATGTTTCTGTTACTTCCAAGTTTTTCACTTTGCCTTCCTTTCAATATCAAACATGTTTCATAAAGCTATTTATAAATTCTAAGCAATGGATCTAGTGTGGGCATTAAATTGAACTTCCAAAGAAATATACTCTTTCACCACAAGAAATCTGAAATGAAAGAGAACAGTGCACTTGCATATCCCTTCTTCTTTCCTTTTTTCTTCCTGCTTCACCTAAGTCTGTTTCGTCCACATAGCTCTATCTTCTGTTTCCTCTTATCATATAGAACCTATCTAGTAAATATAACAGCACATGTTTTCTCTCCCAACTTGCTAGCCATTTGAGTTTCCCCCCTAAAATCAACATTCCATCTTTAACCATCATCTACTAAGCTTTTCCCTACAAATCCCTCCTATTTCATCTATATCCTGTCTCAACTTTTCTCTTCTCAGAGTTATTTCCACCACTTATCTACCTGGAAGATTTTTTGTCTTTGAAATGAAAAAAATTGAGCAAAAATTACATTGCATGCACGGCCTTTTTGTTGCTTTGCTTAGACAGTCCTCTGACCTACATTTGCAAAATGTTACCTTGGTGTATCCCCACAAAGAAGACCTGCAATCCACACTTTCACAAACAGATCATTCGGCTAATCTGTGGCAATTCGAATATTGATGACTAAGGACAGGAAACATGGACAACGAATTCTGGATTGCGATTTCAACTCGAGATATATGGGATTATTATTGGTGGCCCAATAATTTGTTATTGAATTTGTTATTATATGTGTATATGTTTTTAAATTGTTTTAACTGCTGTAAACCGCAATGAGTCGCCGTTCTAGGCTGAGATATTAGCGGTATACAAGTGTATCAAATAAATAAATAAATCATCATTCCAGACCATCTGTGATAATATAAAGCATTTTCTCATATATATATGAGAATGATTTAACTTACAAGTATTAACCAATGGTAAAGGACTCTGCACACCCAACCTTGAAGTAGATGGCACAATCATTGATGCCTCAGACATTTTCCTTTTACCTGGAGTAATCTTGAATTAAAACAGAAAAGTTTAATTTACCACATTTCTTCTTCTAACAATGTAGTTACCACAATTGTCTTTTAAAATGTATTTAAATAAACAAATTTACCTTGGATTGAACTGTTTGGAAATCTTCTTTATTAGCTCTTTGAATAAGATCTGTCTGTATCCTAGAACATTGACGCAAGGAACCATCACCTTTCCCAACTATATTTTCTTTCAAAGGTGATATTTGACTCTCTGGTACAATAACCTATCAAATGTTGTTTTTAAAAAGAATTAATATCCCTGTTTAGTATTTAAGACATTATGCACAGCATTTCTGAGAGAGAGCAGGTATAAGATCAATCCAGCAAGAACGAACAATCAGCACACCAGAATCCTACATGGATTAAAAAAAAAAATCTATGGACTATGATATGGTCATAGAGCTGGAACCCTTTGGCAGGCTGCATAAATAAGATTAGGTTTCTATTTGTCACTGGATCATGTGTAAATTGTCATCTAATTTGGAGGGGTTGCTTGAGTTGGCCTGACATGACATACAGGTGAAGCAGCATATGAAACAATCATTTGAGAAAATTTGCAATTATTATTTTTTTATTCATAAAGAACAGTGTGTTTGGCAAGCCACTGAAAGAAGTTTTCTTTCTCAAGGGCAACTGGAACTGATGCACAATGTCCTCTAATGCAACAGAAATTGGATTATTATAAATTATGGTTAATAATTTCCCCACGTAATTCTGGTTAGTACAGGTTTGTCAGTACATATGCATTCTGGTTGCACATCCACAATTGGTAATGATTGAAACTACAATACATCAGTTCTGCTTTGCTTTACAATCATGCAATTTAGAAGTTTTCACATTTATTGTGGCATCTCATCAACATCAGAAAAATCACTGTAAGACTTCTAGCTAATCACTGTGTTCCTCTCCTCCACACTTCTTGTTTTTACATAATTGAATACTGCTTTGTCTTAACGAAAATATTTACCTGTGATCCACTTTCATCAAAAATTACATGCAATGTCGTTTTGGCCACAGATATTGCATTTTTCTTTTTAAAATCCTAAAACAGATAGTATTAAGAAATATTTCACAAATATTTCACAACAGAATAAAAAGTAATGTTTGTTTCAGTTGAAAAGGCTTCATTTTCAAGTTTAGGTTTCAGATACTTACAGCTATTAGTCAAGGTTGTCATCATAATCATCAAAAAAAGTACATAATAAAAGTTCATAACATCTTCAATTATTTCTTACATCATTTCTTCATCACAGAAAAGGAACCATGTATTTTAGGGCTCTGTTTCCGCAAATTTTCAGATTAAAAGATAAAAGTACAGTATATTCTGGCGTATAAGACTACTTTTTAACCCAAGAAAATCTTCTCAAAAGTCAGGGGTCGTCTTATACGTGGGTGTAGTTTTATGCATGGGAGTCGTCTTAACTCTATATTTTAACTGGAAAAGTTGGGGGTCGTCTTATACACCCAGTCGTCTTATATGCCGGAATATACGGTAATCCCTTTTTAATATTTGAATCCTACTGTTCTTTTAACTGCTCAGCTTACATCCAAGTTATGTCACTTCCTTCACTGCTGGATGTTTAGTATCAGGGAAAAATGGTAAACAGATATCATGATATACCTCTTTATTGACTAAATATTTCTGTTAAAAATAGACTCCAGTATTGATTTCTTGCAGTCAAATTTACATAACCACTCTTTACAAATAGAGCAGCTAATTCTGATACTCTTCTAGCTTAAGGTATTGACAGTAAAAGGCCTACATTGAAAGCCAGTAAGCATAGAGTCTTCCTTTAAGAGTTCAAATGAAGCCTTTGTTAATGCATTGACCATCAAGTTAAAATTTCATGAGGGATATACATGCCGTGCCCATGCCACTGATAATGGGCCTATCTACACTGACCATATAATGTAGCTCCAAGCTAACTTGAGACTGAGAGGGTCACAAAACACACAATGTCTTTTCATGCTGCAGCATGGATTAAACAGAATGCAACAAATTAAAAAGTCTCAGGAAAGTCCTATTTAAGTCATATAATGCACTGCAGCAGATTCTGTGTGTCCGAGGTCCATGATGAGGTCAGCTCCTCAAAATGTGAAACGCATTGTAGACACCCACCCCTGAAGTGCAATAAAGAATCCCAAACAGGCATTGCCAAAACTCACTCCAAGGGCATAGCTGGGCAGGAAGGAAGGAACTGACCCCCCCCCCCCACCTTAACTGTCACTTTCCTTCCCCCCCCCCCCTCCAGCTGATAAGCCTCTAGTGCACTGATGCACATCTCTCTTAGAAATGGAGGGGGTGGGGAATCTGTAGTGGTTTGAGGCCAGGTTCTGTAGTAAATGTATTCATCCTCCTGACCTCAAACCAGTTCCAGACATGGCAGTCTGATTACCTGCACAGTACAACCAGTGTATCCCAAAGACATTAGGAATGAAATATTTGGTTACCTATTGTAATAAATTTACTAGCTATGGTGAACTGATGAGGCAGGGAAGAATATGGATGTGGTAAATCCTTCATTATGACAAGGGCTGGTGCCTCTGCCTTGAAGGAGGCTATAGCATGTACTTTCCTGAAAAGAACTTCCCTGGACAAAGAAGTATATAAAAACTATTTCCCCATTGAAAATATCCCTTCTTTGCCAAAGTGCTTCAGCATTTTGGGAGACTTCAAATGTTCTTGGAGAGAAAAGATTAGTTGGACTGATTTCAGTCTGGCTTCTGACCAGGACACAATAACAAAATGGCCTTGGCCACTCTGATTGATGACCCAGTTAGTTGCTTAAAAAAAAAATAAGAAAAACAAACAAACTGATAAAGTGAAAAAGCTCTTCATCTTACCTGATGTTTACTAACTCCATAAACTTTTTTTACTGCATCCGAAATTTCCAAAGCAGAATCAAAACACAATGTTATTTTGTCCCCTTCTTGGATACCCACAGACGTCGGATTACACAGATGTATTGTTAACAATTGATTTTTGTCCTTTTCTATAAAATGGAAGAATACTCATTAGTATTCAATGTCAATAATGTATTTGCTTTTGAGCCTATGAACAAGCAAATGCCACTCAGTAAATGAATGCAAACACAGTTTGAAGTTTGTTTGGAGTTTTTTAAAAGTTGGCACTGATTTTGCAGCTGATTGTTACAAGTACTGCACTTCTCCATTAAACAGACTCAGCAATTTGAGAATATAAATTCATATATTCCAATACCTTCGATAATGTATGTTTTGACTTCTTCTTCAGGTACACATACAGTTTCCCACTGATGACCCTAAAATATATATTTGTGAGAAATGAGGAAATTCCTTATTGCATTATTTTTATTTGACTACATCCTTTCAATATATAAGACTTAAGAGTCAGCATCATCCTGCTATGATTCAATTCAGTATGGAGGCATAGCTTAGTGTCCTTTGAATATCTCTGTTGTAAGTGAGATTGGTTTCAAGAAAAGCTTCATTCTTTTTCTATTTATGTATATGAAATGCTATATAAATGTGTGCATAATTTTTAATGGGGGCTGTGCTAATTCTTCCTAGATCATTCTAACTTTATGCTGCCAAAGCAAGCATCTTTCAAACCAAATGTATGATAACTCTATATGGCAAAATTTTAACTCCTTGACATTCCAAAATTAAAACTACAGTTCAACTTAAAATTTCGGCTAAAAAACTGCAAAACCATTGGTATTTGGTCAACCTATACTCTGATTCCAAGGACAATGGAAGAGTACTGGTGATTGTTAATTACTTAGAAGAATTAACTGTTCACAAACTCAGAGTGGGGTTTGAAGTCACTAGAATCAATGTCTGACCATCCATACTCCTCAAAGGAAGATTCAGGAGAGTTTGTACCAAGAGTGCTTATATCCTCATAAAATAGAAGTGGAAACAGCCAGCCATGTTTTATCACAATATTCAATTATCTGAGGATTTTTACAATAACATCTTGTTTAATTAAAATTCCATAATTACAGCTAAAATTGCAACATTTTGCACAGCTGTTATTGTCTTTTGTAGGTCATCAGCTAAATAATATTTTAATATTTGACCGAAATTTTCATCGCTATAAATAAAATTTGTTTTATATGCCATATAGAATTTTATATTTTAAGGATAATATTCTATCTTTTTCTGTATTGTCTCTTAGCTTCATTTTTTAATTCATCATGAAGTACTTTTCAATTTGATCATCCTAAGCAGTGGCCAATATAAAGCATCAATCAAATCACGAGACAATGAAAATTCATCAGGGCTTTTATCACTGAGATATAAATAAGATGTGATGCAGAGCTTAGCTGCAATATTACTAGTAAGCTACACATGGACTGTGTCCAGCTTTGAAGGGGTTACTTAAACTGTTCATACTGTTTGTTGGTTAAATAATTCTTCTTCAATAGAGAGATACTAGTCTGGCACAGTATAGGGCCAAGGAGAAAGTTGAAAAAAGTTACTGGTTAATACCTTAGACACCGGTATAGAGAAAAAGATTAGTCCTACCCAGATTTCTAGGACTGTTGTTCTCTGCAATGTACCCATATTCAAACTGCTAGCCTGTAACTCATAAACTATGAATAGACTTTAAGACCTCTCAATAAAACTTGTTTAATATTTATTAAGTCATTATTAGTGACTACTGTAAAAAGGAAACAAAAGGAAAAACCTACTTCACCATCTGCAGCAACATAGAAAGATATACTTCGGCTCCCAGTATTGAAATCAATCCAAAATTCTTCAAGGTTGTCATCTGCTGGGATCTGCAGCTGAAAGAAATTCCACAACATGCACACATCAATCCAAAACCAAAAACATATTATGCATGTATTGCAATTTTCCTGGCTGATATCTGAACTATTCTGAAGTATTTTTGAACTGCCTCAATGTATCTATTTGGATGTTGTTGTTCATTCGTTCAGTCGTCTCCGACTCTTCGTGACCTCATGGACCAGCCCACGCCAGAGCTCCCTGTCGGCCGTTACCACCCCCAGCTCCCTCAAGGTCAGTCCAGTCACTTCAAGGATGCCATCCATCCATCTTGCCCTTGGTCGGCCCCTCTTTTACCTTCCACTTTCCCCAGCATAATTGTCTTCTCTAGGCTTTGCCTGTCTCCTCATGATGTGGCCAAAGTACTTCAACTTTGTCTCTAATATCTTTCCCTCCAATGAGCAGTCGGGCTTTATTTCCTGGAGGATGGACTGGTTGGATCTTCTCGAAGTCCAAGGCACTCTCAGCACTTTCCTCCAACACCACAGTTCAAAAGCATCGATCTTCCTTCGCTCAGCCTTCCCTAAGGTCCAGCTCTCACATCCGTAGGTGACTACAGGGAATACCATGGCTTTGACTAGGCGGATCTTTGTTGTCAGTCTGATGTCTCTACTCTTCACTATTTTATCGAGACTGGACATTGCTCTCCTCCCAAGAAGTAAGCGTCTTCTGATTTCCTGGCCACAGTCTGCATCTGCAGTAATCTTTGCCCTAGAAATACAAAGTCTGTCACGGCCTCCACGGTTTCTCCCTCTATTTTCCAGTTGTCAATCATTCTTGTCCGTTAATCTTGGTTTTTTTGACGTTTAGCTGCAACCCGGCTTTTGCGCTTTCTTCTTTCACCTTGATTAGAAGGCTCCTCAGCTCCTCCTCGCTTTCGGCCATCAGGTGGTGTCATCTGCATATCTGAGGTTGTTAATGTTTCTTCCAGCAATTTTCACCCCCGCCTTGCATTCATCAAGCCCCGCACATCGCCCATGATGTGTTCTGCATACAAGTTAAAAAGGTTGGGTGAGAGGATGCAGCCTTGCCGTACGCCTTTCCCAATCTTGAACCAGTCTGTTGTTCCGTGGTCAGTTCTGACTGTTGCTACTTGGTCCTTGTACAGATTCCTCAGGAGAGAGACAAGGTGGCTTGGGATGCCCATCCCACCAAGAACTTGCCACAATTTATTATGATCCACACAGTCAAAGGCTTTAGAATAGTCAATGAAGCAGAAGTAGATGTTTTTCTGAAACTCCCTGCCTTTCTCAATTATCCAGCGGATATTGGCAATCTGGTCTCTCGTTCCTCTGCCTTTTCTAAACCCAGCTTGAACATCTGGCAACTCTCGCTCCATGTATTGCTGGAGTCTTCCTTGCGGGATCTTGAGCATTACCTTACTGGCATGAGAAATAAGGGCCACTGTACGGAAGTTTGAGCAGTCTTTCGCATTTCCCTTTTTTGGTATGGGGATATAAGTTGATTTTTTCCAGTCTGATGGCCATTCTTGTGTTTTCCATATTTGCTGGCAAATGGCATGCATCACCTTGACAGCATCATCTTTTAAGATTTTAAACAGTTCAGCTCGGATCCCGTCGTCTCCTGCTGCCTTGTTGTTAGCAATGCTTCTTAAGGCCCATTCAACCTCACTCCTCAGGATGTCTGGTTCTAATTCATTCAGCACACCGTCAAAACTATCCTCAATATTATTATCCTTCCTATACAGATCTTCTGTATAGTCTCGCCACCTTCTCTTGATCTCTTCAGCTTCTGTTAGGTCCCTGCCATCTTTGTTTCTTATCATACCAATTTTTGCCTGAATTTTACCTCCAATGTTTCTAATTTAGATGTCTCTTGTCCTTCCTATTCTGTTGTCTTCTTCCACTTCCATGCATTGCTTGTTTAAAAATAGTTCTTTATCTCTTCTGGCTAACCTCTGGAATTGCGCATTTAACTGGGCATATCTCCCCTTATTATCCCTGTTTCCTTTTGCTTTCCTCCTTTCTTGGGCTACTTCCAGTGTCTCAGCAGACAACCATTTTGCCTTCTTTATTTTCTTTTTCTTTGGGACGTACTTTGTTGCTGCCTCCTGAACAATGTCGCGGAACTTCTGTCCATAGTTCTTCTGGGACTCTGTTTACTAAATCTAGTCCTTCAAATCTGTTCTTCACTTCCACTGTATATTCGCTAGGAATGTTAGTGAGATCATATCTAACTGGTCTGTGTATTTTCCCTGATCTCTTTAGTTTTATTCTAAATTGAGCAATAAGAAGTTTGTGATCTGAGCTACAGTCAGCCCCAGGTCTTGTTTTCACCGACTGGATGGATGTCCGCCACCTTTGGCTGCAAAGGATGTAGTCAATCTCATTTCGGTGTTGACCATCTGGTGAGGTCCATGTATAAAGCCGTCTTTTAGGTTGTTGGAAGAGAGTATTCGTTATACACAGCGAGTTTTCCTGGCAAAATTCTATCAGCCTGCGTCCTGCTTCATTTTGTTGCCCCAGACCATGCTTGCCTGTGATCCCAGTTGTCATTTGACTTCCCACCTTGCATTCCAGTCTCCTGTAATGAAAATAATATCTCTTTTTGGTGTGTTATCCAGTAGGTGCTGCAGATCCTCATAGAAATGATCTGCTTCTGCTTCTTCAGCAGCTGTGGCATATATCTGGATCACTGTAATGTTGAAAGGCTTTCCTTGCACTCGAATTGAGATCATTCTGTCATTTTTTGGGTTGTATCTGAGCACTGCTTTAGCAATTTCTTATTAATTATGAAGGCTACTCCATTTCTTCGATGTTCCTCTTGTCCGCAGTAGTAGATCTGGTGGTCATCTGATGTGAAGTGGCCCATTCCAGTCCATTTCAGTTCGCTGACCCCCCAGAATGTCTATCTTTAGTCTTGACATCTCATCAATAACAACATCCAATTTGCCCTGGCTCATAGATCTTACATTCCAGGTTCCTATGGTGTGTTGATCTTTAGAGCATCGGATTCGTCGTTCACCTCCAGTACCGTCGGCCGCTAGCTTCCTTTCGGCTTTGAGCTAGCTGCGTCATCACATCTGGGGCTAGTTGAACTTATCCTCTGCTCCTCCCCAGTAGCATTTTGGCCATCTTCCGACCTGGGAGTCCCATCTTCCAATGGCATACCGACATATCTGGTTGTACTGGTCCATTTAGTTTTCTTGGCAAGGATACTGGGGTGGTTTGCCATTGCCTTCCCCAGGGATCACGCTTGGTCTGACCTCTCTGCCACGACCGTCCCGTCTTGGGTAGCCCTTCACGGTTTCGCTCATGACATCATTGAGGTGCTCAAGCTCCAGCGCCCCGACAAGGCGGTGATCCTTTGCTGGAGTCTATTTGGATAGGTACCATATATATCCATTTAGAAATTGGCCTCATGTATAAATCAAGGGTGGTTTGAAGGCCAAATTTCCAGATTTTGATGTAGCCCGTGGATAAGTGAAGAGTCATTCTGCACAGAGGGGAAAGTGTCAGCACTGCCTCAAAGCATCTTTGTTTGTTACAATTTTCCTATCCAGGCATTCAAAAAGGCCTTATGTCATTTTACTCCAAGAAAGAAATGGTTCCTTTTTTTGATTAGAGTTAATAATTTGAAGGAACCATCCCCTTGTCTGAGTGAAAGGCAAGAGCTTAGTCTGTTTCGGCACTTACAAAAGCCAGAAGAAGTGCTGCGGTAAAGAGTAGAGGGATGCCAGTCTTTCTTTCAGGTTCAACAGGAATGAACTAACTTTCACCACCTATTCTGAGAAGGGTTAGTTCTCAGGTTACAAACAAGATATGTTTTGTATGTTCGTTCTTAAGTTGAATTTGTTTGCAAATTGGAACAGGTCCAGCAAAAAGTGCACTCTTTGTATTTTGGCAAAAAAAAAAAAAGGTTTACATTATAGTTCCTGTGGGATAAGAATCCCTTTTTTTAAAAAAAACACAAATGCTTGCAAAGCAATGGAAAAGAAAACCATAGAAATAGATAACTGTTCCATCAAGGAGCCTCTCCTGTTTATCTTGCCCCAGCTTCCTTCAGCAGTACTTATGCTGTGGAATGAATGCAGTTTGACACCACTTAACTGCCCTGATTCATTACTATGGGATCTTGGGAGCTGTTGGTTTACAAGGTCTTTAGCCTTCTTGCCAAGGAATGCTCCTGTCTCACCAAACTACAAATCCCAGCATTGCATAGCATTGAGACAGGGCAATTAAAAATGGTGTCAGACATGAAGGAAAGGAGAGGAGAGATGGAAAAAATACAGTGAGGATGAAGGAGATATTGATAGGAAGAAAAAGAAATGGGTTTGGAGAGATCTATAGGGAAAAAAAGAAAAGGGGTTTGGAGAGATCTATAGATCTATATCTAGAGGAAAGCGGGAGGGGAGTGGTGGTGGTGGTGGAGAGATTGAGAGGAAGAACAGGGAAAAGGAGTTTGGTGACATCAAGGGAAGAAAAGGGAAAAAGGGGTGGAGAAATACACACATATTTTAGCTCAGTGCTAAGATTTCATGGCAGGGAGAGGGGAGAGACCTGTTTTTAACTCTGATTTATTTGTACGTCGGATGTTCATAACTTGGGGACCGCCTCTATACAAGAGCTATACACTTTTGCTTTTGTTGTCAGTTAGCTAAAAGTATATTCTTATTTCAAAGTAAATAAAGCATTAATAGGCCAAATAATATGAAACATCGACCAGTCAGAACATAACAACTTACCTCATGTTTGTCCAGGTTAGCTGATAAACAAGGATAGGTAAATACCCTGTAAAATAGAATTTTAATAATGAACATATATTCATTTTCCCTTTTCATCTCCAGTGATGTAAAAAGAGCCATAATTCCTTGTTCCATGGTCTATTTTTGACAGGAAAAAAAGAACAACAGTTTTGCAATTGACATAATTGTAAGTATGCGTTCTTCCCGATGTTTCTTCAAACCTGAACAGTCAAGTATTGCCACCATAGTTTTAAAATGCTATACGAACCTGAAATTTTAGATAGCAATATATGCATCTTGATGAAGCAGGTTGTATTGTAAACACTTATATAATAATAAGATTATTAAACTTTAAGGTTTTATAGGGAATCTCCATTGATTTTTCTAAGACACATTAAGACAACCTGCTTCATTGAAAAATGTTGTCTGACATATTTTTTTGGCCCTGCCAAAAGGTTCTTAATCTTATAAAAGGCCCAGCTCTATCATTTACAGCAGGGGTGGGCAAAGAATGGTGTATAGACTACATGGACCTCCAGAACCATTTTTGTTGGTCCACAGAACCCCCAAAAGTTTAAAAAATCAGGTATTTTCCCTGAACAGTATTTGTGTCAAAATACACTTTAGGGTAGCAGTTATCAACCTGTGAATCCCCAGATGTTTTGGCCTTCAACTTCCAGAAATCCTAACTGCTAGTAAACTGACTGGGATTTCTGGGAGTTGTAGGCCAAAACAACTGGGGACCCACAGGTTGAGAACCACTGCTCTAGAGGGTATGACAGATTTTCTTTGCCATGTCTTTCATCCTCTGGCTAATTAGGCTCAGAATTGGCCCCTTTTTAAAATACAAAGTGAATAAATGTGAATTCCACTCACTTTGTGTTGTTAAGGGCTTTCATCAGGCTATAATGGCCCAAGCAAATTAAAAATATAATGAAACTGCCCCTCCTCTAGAATTTGAAGAAGAAAATAAGTGGGTTGCAGGGAGTGCAGCCTCCTAAATTCTCCCAAGGGGCTAACATGGCCCTTAGCATTGCACACACACTGCCCAAATATGTGGGTTTGACATCCATGGATCTAATTATTTGTGGCTTTGTCACTGCCCTTCCAAGTCTGATGCCAATCACAACAAGGAGAAGTGTGGAAGGGTGGCTGGGGCAGTGAGGAAAGGGGAGCTGACCCTCTACTATCTTACAATTAAACTCCCTATTTCAGAATGGGAGTTAAAGCCCTATGATCACTCAATATGTGACAACTAATGCCCCATCTACAAACAAAACACTTTAAGGGAAGATGGTGTATTTGCACAATTGCTGAATGCACTAGCAACTGTGCAAACATACGGCAACTAAGTGCAGAATTATTTTTATGCTACCATTTTGCTCAGCATAGATTCCAGTCTTACATACTACTTCCTCTAATCAAGGGTGCCAGCATGGTACAGTGGCTTGAGCACTGGACTATGTGTCTGCAGACCAAGGTTCAAATTCCTGCTTAGTCAGAGAAACTCACTGGGTGACCTTAGGCAAGTCAGTTTCTCAGCCTCAGAGGATGACAAAGACAAACATCCTCTGAACAAATCTTGCTAGGAAAACCCCAATAATCAGCTCACTGTAGGGTCACTATAATCTGGAAATGATTTAAAGGCATACAACAGCAACAAACAAATAACTGCTTTCTGTTAACGTATCTTGCATACCTTCTTTTGTCTCCAAGCATACCGTTCACTTGATTCAGGAACTTTCTGCAATCCTATTAAGGAAAAAAGCAGTAAATGTACTGTAACCATTCCATTTTAAAAGAAATCATATCTGATTGTGACTTACTGTTTCAAACTCGGAATCCTTAATTCCCTTAAACGCATTAGTTACAAATTCCATTGAAAACCATTGGCTTGCCAACTCTCCCCTTTGTTTTTCTGATGTCATTCGGCACAAAGCTTCAGTAATGGCAACTTGTAGATCATAGTCTATAATATATATGAAAAGAATATTAATTCTCTTCTCAAAAATAAATAGCAGAACTACTGACAAGAAAATAGAAAATCCTTAAAGACATGCATAGTGCACTGAACAAAACTCTGTAATTTGACAAATTTGCTATATACTTATCTTGGATATATGACTGTAAACTAAATATATAATAGCTTTTAAAATGCAATCAAAGCTGCCATTCCAAGAAACAAAAAATATGACAGATCTCCTCTTTTTGATGCCAAGTTGTCCATCCTTGGTGTAGGAGACCGAGCCATTGGATCTAAGTCTTCTTTTTTTAATTATCTTGCTCTGACTTTTCCATACTTCTCTAGCATTATATTAAGAAATTAGTTAATAAGATACCTTGCAATGCGGAATTATTGACTGCAGCTGGAGCTGTTGCAATTCCAAAAAATTATCATACATATTTATGGATGTTACTTACATTTTACATATACGAACACACACACACACACACACACACAAAATTCAGTAATACAGCTGCATTTCTGTCTAGTGCGGACTGCTGGAATCAGGACTCCAACTTCTTTATGTTAAAGCATCTTGTAGATCAGAGAACACACCAATATTTCAGAAATAGCATATTTCAGAAATAGTATGAGTGCTTACCCCCAGCATCCAAAATTCTTTTTCCCATGTCATTCCTGTCAAATAAATATATATAGTATATATATTCAGTATAATCAAATCTCTTTAAACAAATGATTTATATTTAATGTTTTATCAACTGGTGATACCACAGTTAAAAAACATTCTTTTTTATTTTATTGTTGCTGTATTTTTTGTTTAAACTGTTTTAATCAAATTGCATGTGTTGGATTTCATTTCAGATTTGTAGTTCAGTATGTTATGAAGAGGAATGTCTATTTTCTTACCTGTAACTTGCATTAACTCACAACTCAGGTAAATATTTGGGTGTAATTCAAATAACAGTAAATATTTCTAAGGGTTCAATCAAAAATAGCCTACTATTATTTTACCCCACTCTTCAGCCAAACAGGCTCCCAGTGGTTTATAGATAATTAATTTAACAGTTCTTAGGTTTGCAATCTAAAACAAGAGGACACTCAAGGAAACTTATGGGATGGCAGTAGGGAAGAGGATCAAGTCCTTTTGTCACTGACTGCTCTTCTCTTGCAATAAGCAAGGAGGGTCCTTCACCAGCTGCTGGAGCTAAGGTGCAACAAAAATTTATGTCACTGCACACTGACTCCAGTTGGGTGCTTGCAATGATAAAAAATCAATTGTTTATCTTACAGGAATTGCATCACTCTGCTCCATGGACATGTACTGATATCACAATTCCTGTTCCTCATAGCTCTCCATGCTACTAAATATTCTACTCTGTGGAGTTTTCCAACCCTCTGAAGCAATTACTGAATGTGTGGTCTTATTTCTGTGGCAAACATATTAAGGGTTGCTTGCAAGTCCTGCTGAAAGCTAAATTAATGTAACTTTTTTGAGATTTGCAAGACGGTTATCAGACTTCTTTTAATGCTGTTTTCCCAAATACAACTGTCTTTCATTTAAGCCAATTACCATAATAGTCCTAAAGAAATGTATATCACACACAATTTAATTAAGTTGGACTTAAACTGTTGTACTCTAGACATGTCACCCGACTACATGGCTAATTAATTAAAACAATGATGCCTGACAAGGAAGTAGGAAGTAAAAAAAAAAAGGAAGATCACACTCATGGTGCGTAGAATCAATCAAGGAAGCCACTTTCCTTAGTTTGTAAGATCTAAACAATGACATAAAGCTCTCTCATTCATAGGGTCACTAATGGGGCACTAGAGCAAAAAAAATTAAAACTCCAAGGGGAGTATTGTCGAAGGCTTACATGGCCGGAATCACTGAATTCTTGTAGGTTTTTCAGGTTGTGTGGTCATGTTCTAGAAGCATTCTAGAAGCAACTTCAGGAGAGACTGCTTCTAGAACATAGCCATATAACCCGAAAAACCTACAACAATCCAAGGAGAGTGTTTTTCTTCCTTCCACCTGTAAAGGGCACCTACATGCTAAATCCCCCAATGCTGTAGTGCAGGAAAGTGAGCCTTTACCCAGCTGCCCAAACGCTCCCCTCAGAGCTAGGGAGGATTAACTTGCCAAGACTCAAAAGGGAGAGGTGAACAGGCAGGTATTGCCTCCTTGCATAATAGTCACACCGGTGCAACTATTAAGCAAGGAATGATAAAGCACCAAAACCGGAACCAAAAAGGGGTGTGTGTGACTATTATGTGATGATGACTATTATGCGATAAAATACAGTAGTTAGGCAGGAGTATGAAAATTAGTGGAGAAGGGACAGGGGTCCAAACGGAATTTAACAGAAAAGCATGCAGAGTCCTGACAGTTGATGGGAAGGTGGGGAAAACCCAAGAATGGAGGATTGATCCTTTTAATTCCATTTAAGACTTCCAAATGGAAATTTTACTCTTTTCTGTTGCATCTGGACCATAACACTCATTTCCAAATCCTTTAAGTAACACAAAATTAGTTTATTGCTTACTTGATATAGCTTTCAAAGAACAGCATTCTATCAAAAGACAAAATAAAGATAAAATAATTACATGGCTTGTAGCATTTCTTTTGTAGAAATGATTTTCTTTCTTGTATCTCGAGGCATAGCATCAAGCATTGTATTCAATTTTCTTACTGCCTAATGATAACAAAAACATTAAAAAAATACACATTACAATACCAACCAAAATATGCCCTTAAGAGAGCATACAACCAAAGGTACATCAGTTTTGCTACCATTCTGAAACTTCTTGTGTAATATGTACAACTGACTCTACTGGCAATCAACTATATGGAGTGAGTTATGTTCTTTCCACTTAACTGCCATCTAACCTTTTATATCTGAAAAACCATTCACAGAACCAAAACTTTCTTGGACCAATGTGTGCCTTAGTCTGTAAAATGAAGTAACACTAGGGATTAGTGTTACTAGAGATTAGTGTTAGTGACTGGGAAAGGCGTACGGCAGGGTTGTACACTCTCACCTAGCCTATTCAACTGCAGAACACATCAAGCCCCTGCGATGTGCAGGGCTTGATGAATGCAAGGGTGGGGTAAAAATTGCTGGAAGAAACATTAACAATCTTAGATATGCAGATGATACCACTTTGATGGCCGAAAGTGAGGAGGAGCTGAGGAGCCTTCTAATCAAGGTGAAAGAAGAAAGTGCAAAAGCTGGGTTGCAGTTAAACATAAAAAAAACCAGGATTATGGCAACCGGACTGATTGATAACTGACAAATGGAGGGATAAAATGTGGAGGCCGTGACACTTTGAGTCGTCCTCGGGCTTGACATACAGCGGTATACAAGAATAGTAAATAAATAAATAAATAAATTTGTATTTCTAGGTGCAAAGATTGCTGCAGACACAGACTGCAGCCAGGAAATCAGAAGACGCTTACTTCTTGGGAGGAGAGCAATGACCAATCCCGATAAAATAATGAAGAGTAGAGACATCACACTGGTAACGAAGATCCGCATAGTAAAAGCAATGGTATTCCCCGTAGTAACCTACGGATGTGAGAGCTGGACCATAGGGAAGGCTGAGCAAAGGAAGATAGATGCTTTTGCACTGTAGTTTTGGAGAAAGTTGTGAGAGTGCCTTGGACCGCAAGAAGATCCAACCAATCCATACTTCAGGAAATAAAGCCCGACTGCTCACTGGAGGGAAAGATATTAGAGGCAAAAATGAAGTATTATGGCCACATAATGAGAAGACAGGAAAGCTTGGAGAAGACAATGATGCTGGGGAAAATGGAAGGAAAAAGGAAGAGGGGCCGACCAAGGGCAAGATGGATGGATGGCATCCTTGAAGTGACTGGCTTGACCTTGAAGGAGCTGGGGGTGGTGATGGCCGACAGGGAGCTCTAGCATGGACTGGTCCATGAGGTCACGAAGAGTCTGAAGTGACTGAACGAATGAACAACAAACAGCAAAGAAAGAAAAGGTAGTTTTTTAAAAACAATATACCTTACTTTAGATAAGAAAACAACAGTGAACTTGAATGTATGGAGCAAAAGGAATTTAATCTGCTCTATGCAATCTTAAGCTTGCTTGCCTGAGAGAAAGTCCTCCTGAGAATCATTAAGGCTTACATTTAAGCAGTAATGTACATTCTAATATACTATAACGAGTATGGGTGGAGTGGTCCCATTAATTTCTAAAAGAGATGTATCAGAACAGTAATTTCTAAAAGAGATGTATCAGAACATATGGATTTAAACCCTACTAATAAGCTCTAAACCAGGGGTCCTCAAACTAAGGCCTGGGGGCCGGATACGGCCCCCCAAGATAATTTACCCAGCCTTCGCTCAGACTCAACCTAAACCTGAAATGAATTGAAAGCACACAACAACAACAACAACAACAACTACTACTACAACAACAACAACAACAACACAATCCTATCTCATCAGCCAAAAGCAGGCCCACACTTCCCACTGAAATACTTATAAGTTTATATTTGTTAAAATTGTTCTTCATTTTAATTATTGTATTGTTTTAAAGTGGGGTTTTTTTTGCACTACAAATAAGTCATGTGCAGTTTGCATAGGAATTCATTCATGCTTTTTTTCAAATTATAATCCGGCCCTCCAACAGTTTGAAGGACTGTGACCTGGCCCTCTGTTTAAAAAGTTTGAGAACCCTGCTCTAAACGGTTCCGGCCCAGCTTACCTGTCCAAATGTATCTCTCCCTATGAACCATCTAAGAGTTTAAGAGTGACCAGGGAGGCCCTGTTCTCGGTCCCGCTTTCTTCGCAGGCGCGACTGGTGGGGATGAGAGACAGGGCCTTCTCAGTAGTGGCCCCTCAGTTGTGGAACGCCCTCCCCAGGGATATTAGATCCAGCGTCCTCCCTCTTGACCTTCCGGAAAAAAAGTGAATATGTGGGTATTTGAACAAGCCTTTGGAATCTAATGCAACAGTCAAACACGAAATTAGACTAAAGTGAACATTGGAACAGCTCAGACAATGATTTTTTGACAATGAGATTAACTATGAAGGCATTGGTTTTATATGTTTTTAAAATTTTTATTGAATGTATTTTTAATTCTGTTTAAATGTCCTTTTAATTGTATATTGTTAGGTATTGAATTGCTGCCTGGTTGTATGCCACCTTGAGTCACCTTTGGGTTCGAGAAAGGAGGGATAGAAATATCGTAGATAAATAAATAAATAATAGAAGGAAATTTCTTACCTCTTGCTGAATATAAATATTAATTCTCTTATCAGCAATAAGAGTGCATGTTCTCCATATAAAATTTTCAAGTATTTGTATTTTACCTAGATTAAAAAAATAAGACTCCAGTTACATGAATGAGTTGGAAAGTTTCATATTTAATTTTCAAAGACACTCACAATTATAAATAAACAGTGAGCAGAAATATACTTTTCCTTTTAAAGAAAATATTTTTGTAAGTACTGCTTATATGAATTTTAACTTAATGTTCAGGCATTCCAAATATTCACCATCTGAAATTTATGCTACTTGACATGAATGAACTAAGAAGCTTAATCGCTAGAACTCCTAAGCTAAACCCAATAATAGATCCCACTAGAGTACACTCACAGAAAGCAATAAGTCTTATTTGTCATCAATTTTGTGATTTCCACTGATGGGAAGGGTGAGATCTAACTGAATATTAGTAGAACAAAAAGCCACACTGCTGTTAGTAAAACATGGCTGCCCTTGGTCAGAAACCACAGAGAGCCTGTATAACTTATTGCAAAATTGCTCAAATTACTATCTGTTGCATCAGTAGTTTTACACAATAGCATTCTGTCTAACGGATCTACTCTAGTCAAGAATAAACTTCACCCTTTAATTGCAATTTAACACATAACTGCTATTTATATAGCCACCTGTTTAAATCTTAAATCAATGTAATTTAAGCAGATGTATGGTGTGCAGAACAATAGCCTATTTCTGTAAGAAAATTAACTACATCCTGTGCATCAGATTACAAATTTATGACCCTTTAAATCTTATAGATTATTGAAAGCATAATAACCCATGCCACCCTTAACTGTCCTATAAAAGACAAGCTTTAGCGGTCATTAATCTAGAAATAGAGAGTATTATACAACAAAAATAAAATAAATCTTTGTAAAACATACCTTCACAGCTGGCATTATATACTGTCTACAATTTAAATAAACAATATATTAAAATAACTTCACATACTAAAAATGACTACTAATTCTTATACCAACATGGATTGTTTTTCATGATAGCTTTTGGTGCTGATAAAAAAACACATGACTCAGAACTGACTATTCACCAGTACTGTACCTCCATTTCTTGGAAACCAGTGCACTGTACTTCATTCGTTTCTCCAAAACCTTCCTAGGTCTCAGAACTAACTTTCGAGAAAATACATGGAATTGTAAGGGCAAAAGAAAACCAAATACAATTGGCTGCTCCAACAGATTTTTTTCACTAATAAATGTATGCCACATAGGATATAAACCACATGTACTATGGAATTACACCATCAATAAAAAAGTAATTCTTTAGTGTTCAGTCAGACCCCAAACACACATATATCCACATACACACAACTGCATAATACAAGAAGCTCTATGATGCAATCATTAATTTTTAGCAAACTATGCAACAAATAGAGTGCTGGAGACAAGAAATAATCAGAAGCAAATGTGCTTGCGTCAATTTACACATATTATACATATTACATTTGGGAATACTATCTGTTGATATTTTTAACATTTTATTTTTTTCATCTGCACTTAGAACAAAATGAAATAATATAAGACAGATAGGTAAACTTTAAGTAACTTTTTAAAAATCCTGTCAAGCAAATTAAACCTTCTAAAGACACCATAAATACTAAGCATGTCTGTATCAATTAAGCTATAAAAACATGATATTTACCATGAGGACATCAAAAAAGTCTTCAAAAAGTATAGTAAATTTATCGTTTTTTTCATTTTCTTTATTTCCAAGAATTTCTTTGGCCTTTTCAAACCAATTAACCATGTAAATAGGAAGAAAATAAAAATCTGTTAATCTGTGCAGAAAAGATGATGAATTTAATATAATCCTCTTTTCAATCAAATTACTCAGCACATCTTTGAACAAATGTAATAGCTACATGTATGCAAAGATTACAATACATGACTCCTCTTTCTCAGAATTGATGGATACAACCTGTAAGCTACGCCCCTTTCCAAGCATTAACCAGAAAATGAAAACTTTTATTTCCACCCAAAATTATACTTTCTCTTTACAACCAAGGGTTGTTGATAGTCTTGATTATGGATTATTGAAATACCAATGTTATAGAAGTCAAACAACAATGAGAAGAAATCACCCTCCCCCCACCAAAAAAAAAAAAACACCTAGGAAAGAAAAGCACTCCTCTCTCTGTTCCCATTTCTTTATTTGCCCAAGTGGAGTTATTGGGGAGCCTTTTGGGGCAATATTGGGAAGCCATTTTGGGGCACTTGAAGTAGAGTGGAATGGGAGTGGCCATCTCTAATTGGGAACACAGGATTCTACGGTAAGCCCCTAATAAAAATGGCTAGTGTGAGGAAAGAGGGAGGGCTGCCTTTCTTTCTCTTGTTTGGACAAGTGAAAAATAACCATGAGGGAGTGCTTCTCGCCTTTGCCTCTTGTCACTACCTTCACACTGGGTCCGTAACAAATGCAAGTTGTTTTCTATGTTCATCCCCTCCCCCCCCCCCCACACACAAATACCTTTCCCCCCCAGGTTGAACTCATTCTTTTTCCTCGTTTATATTCCTTTCCCTATCTGAGTTTGTATATCTGTAGACATTTTAAGAGGAGCAATGAAATTTATCACCAGCTCCCAACTATAACTCCTGAGATAAACAGATTTTTTCCTTTGCTTTGGCTCTTCCTAAGTCTGTTTTGCCTATGCTTTTTTAAAGAGAGAAAATTTATTTATTATATACCTCTAACTTTTACCTGCAATGCAAAGCGAAATCCATAATTTTTACTCAAAATCTGCCCTTGACTTATACATGAGGTTGCCTTACACACAAGTATATATTGTAAATTAGCATCATCAGCTAAACTGACACAAGCTTTTTTCAACAAAACATAGTTGATTTTACTATGGTATAAATCAGGGGTCCTCAAACGTTTTAAACAGAGGGCCAGGTCACAGTCCCTCAAACTGTTGGAGGGCCAGATTATAATTTGAAAAAAAAAAACATGAATGAATTCCTGTGAAAACTGCACATATCTTATCTGTAGTGCAAAAAACATGTAAAAACAATACAATAATTAAAATGAAGAACAATTTTATCAAATATAAACTTATTAGTATTTCAATGGAAAGTGTGGGCCTGCTTTTGGCTGATGAAATAGGATTGTTGTTGTTGTGTGCTTTCAAGTCGTTTCAGACTTAGGTTGACCCTGAGCGAGGGCCGGGTAAATGACCTTGGAGGGCCGCATCCGGCCCCCGGGCCTTAGTTTGAGGACCCCTGGTATAAATTATCAGAAACCACAATTAATTGAAAGCAGCACTTCATTTTCTTGGAACTGGGAAAAGAGGAAAACGGGGAAATATTGTCTCAAGTCTTATGCATTGAACAGCAAACTGTAGTTTAGATTGATATATAAAGGAAGCTGGAATAAATGAATATTGAATCAAAATCATAACCCAGCTGCTAAACTACATGGAAACCTAGAGACTATTTCTTCATCTTTTATCAGTCCTTAGAATTATTTTCTAGATTCATATACTTATCTTTTGAACAAGACCATGTTCTATCATTGCTGGAAAACCAACTTCACCTAACATGTTGATATTTCTGCCATGTTTCTGAAGAGTGTTCAACAATGTGGAAACATTTTTGATTTCTTCACTGGCAAGGCCCTGATATTGAAAAATGAAAACATTTCCATTTTTATCCAAGCATCTTTCCTCAGTAAGATAAATATTACTCAATATTTCCTCAATATTACTGCAGCCATAAGGATTATATCTCTCTGTATCTCAACTCCTGGTAGTAATTGGGGGGGGGGGGGGGAATCTGATTTTAGACAACATGTAATCTACTGTTCACTTAATTCCAGCAAAAACCTGTAACACTGAAGATTAAATTAAAATGGATGTCAAAGGCAATCCCAAGCTAGATCTACATAACATGATCTGAACAGTTTGATGGGTCATGTTGCTGTATTTGTTACATGTATTTTTCCCCTTTCCTCAGAAACTCAAGATTATGTACAAGGGTCATTTTACAGTCTTCATATGATTAAAACTCTCTGAACAGGAATAAAATCACAAAAATTAGACATTTATCACCTCACACATAAGCTTGTCTAGTTTGTTGAGAAACTGTTTGCTGCATTTGTGAGAAATACCATCAGAAATATCAGTTTCCAAAAACTGTTCCAGTCCCCAGAAATTGTGTTTTCTGGTTGCTTCATCTATGCATTTTTCCAGCTGAAAGATGGAAAGAGAGAATAAACATTATTAACATTACTCTGAGATACAGCAAAGAAAATTAAAATAAAAGTATTGGAGAGGGGGAATAAACAGGTCAGCTCAGCTTTGGATAGCATAAGGAAGGGTCAACAACACCCCGTGTTTTTTTTTGTTTTGTTTTGTTTTGTTTTGTTTGTTTTTTTTGCTGTCTGTGCCCCTGTTCAGAAGATCTCACCTCACACTGTCACTATGATAATTGGATTTTGAAAAAAAAAATCTTACTCACTTCTCCTTGTGGCTCGAGAAGGATTACAGCACAGTTAAAACACAAACATTATAAACATTCAATAAATAAACATATAAAATGTATTTCTATAAAAGATCCATATTAAAACATACAGAACAGAGATTAAAACACAGGACATGAGTTTAAAATTCATGCTTAAAACTGGCTGGGTAGGCCTACTGGAAAAGATAAGTCTTTAAATGGTTTTAACATTCCAACAGCTCATTTAGCTGTTGGAACTCTTCCGGTCGTCCACAGTCTTGGGGTGGCCAATGAAAAGATTCTCTGAGTGATGGTCACCAGTTGATTCTGGCTGGTTGGAGCAGATCTAAGTATGCAGGTGTATTGAAAAGGAGATGGCAGTCCTGCAGGGAACCTGGACCCAAACCATGTAGGGCTTTAAAGATCAAAACCAACACCTTTTACTTTGCCCAGATACTAATTGGCAGCCAGTGGGTTGACTTTAGGATATGCATAATATGCTCACTCCTGGATGTTCCTGTAACCAATCTGGCTGCTGTATTTTGAACCAGCTGGAGTTCTGAACTTGGTACTAAGGTAGCCCAATGTAAAGAACACTTCCGAAGTCCATCCTTGACGTTACCAGCACGTGCACTATCATCTTTAGATCTAGGAAGGGAAGCAGCTGATATATTGGCCGAAGCTGAAAATAAGCACTTCTGAGCATCACATCTACCTGGGCTGACATCTGGAGAGACAGATCTAGGAGCACTCCCAAGCTGCAAACAGTCTTTTGTGGAAAATCTAACCCCATCCAGAACTGGTTGACACACCTCCATCCCAGATTAAGACCCTTGATAGCAAGCACCTCTGTTTTGCCTGGATTCAGTCTCAATTTGTTTTTCCTCATCCAGCCCATTGCATCCTCCAGGTATTCATTCAGAGGAGATGTCATCCTTACCTGAGACTGTTTTTGAAGGCATGGAAAAATATATTTGGTATCACCCCACCCCATGCCTCCGGATGATCTCTCCTAGTGGTTTCATGTAAATATTAAAATGCATTGGAGATAACCTTTGTGGGATATCACATAACTGCTCCTTTTTGGAGGAGCAGCTTCCCCAAGCCCTACCATCCTAGAACCTGTCTGAGAGGTACGACTTGAACCACTGCAACACTGTACTTCCTGCATTTCACATCCCACTGAACTCTCTGCTTACAATTCATCAGGACTACCTCCACTACTTATATAATTTACTGCAGATTCATTTAACTGATGAAATGGAATCGATCCATTAATGCTGGATTTTGCTTCAATCCACAGCCACGCGGATGACAAGTTAGGAATCAACTTTTTACTGAACCAAGATCATTCAGAAAATATAACTTTGAGTGCCCATGTGATTATTCAATGGTACTAGAATAATATTTTATGTCCTTTCAAAATATACTGAGGTTGCAAAGAATGGGCTAAGCAGCAGAAGAGTGGGTTAAATCCAGAGAACTTCAGGATCTTGAAAATTAAATATTGAATGTAGGATACCAAAGTTATCTGGTAAGTACTTCAGCCAAGTAAATGCCATGTAAGTGGTGAATATATTTATGAAATTAGAGTTATAGGCAGTATTTATTTATTTATTTAAAACATTTATATTCCACCCTTCTCACCCCGAAGGAGACTCAGGGAGGAGCACAGCATATACACGGCAAACTTTCAATACCGGGAACAAATTCACATACAATACATAAACATTAAAAAACATTTATCAAAATATTAAAACACACCATTTAAAACCGTCCTAGCCATCCGCATCAAATCCAATTGGTCCTGTCATCTTTCCCACTGCTGCTTCATTGCCCTGTCCCGAAAGCTTGGTCCCAAAGTACAGTTGTAGCAGAATATAAAATAAAACTAACAATGGCAAACACTTTATATTTCAAAATAAGTATAAACTAATGCATACCTGTCCTTCACGCTTTGCGGGCATTTTTGTTGTTTCACACACTTAATCTGTATGATTAAAAATAAATTTTTAATTAATATAAAAGATAATACAATTCACAACTAATTTTGAAAAGTTATATTTTTGGCAGCACGACTAAAACATAGCCAAAATGAACAGGAGGAATACATTTATTTAATTATATAATTATTTAAGATACTGTCTAGAAAAAGAAACAACCACTATGCTCAAATCAAATCAGTGCCTGCATACAATTTGTCTCATTATTTATTTTATGTAGCAACCATGCTATTGGGCTGCAGTGAGAATACAGAACGCAAACAGACATCAGCTCTCCTACAAAACCAGCTTTCACTTACAGACAAATATGAGAACAACCATTTCACTAAGCTGTAGAAGACACAGTGACTAAAACTAGGGCCAGAATTCCAGCTCACCTAAAGGACTCAAAGCTTTGATTTATTTTTCTTTTTGGATCGTGTTTCCATTTCATGAGTTGTTTTAACAAGACAAACAATGCCCAGCTGCATTAAAGCACAAAGCAGTTAAACTACAGCTGGTCATTATGACAACCAAAACATTAAAAAATAAGTATTTTCCATTTCCCTTCCTATCCCATTTTTCTCTTGTGTTGTTTCTTTATATTGGAATCCTAAATGCTGGGGTTGTCTTGTCCTGATTCTTATTGCTTTTCTGGATGAAGACTGGGGTATGAACAGTATAAATAATGAATGAATCAATACCATAATGGTTTGTCATAAATTATTCATGTTTTAACACTGGCACTCCTGCAATGGTAAAGATAGTGTCTTTGTAAATGGTTCATAAGGTACAATGGCTGTAGATGTTGCTTCCTATTGGCAAAATCTGAAGAAATGCTCGTATGTAACTATGTCTCTAACAGCCACACCGCAATTCAATGTGTTAGGTGCTACTTATAAACCCATGTGTGGTCTAAGGCCTGTATACATTTAGTAATCTGAGCCCATCTTTTAAAACAGGGAAAGGAAATTATAACAGGCTATTAATTGAATTCCAGTTGTCATCAGTCTCAGCCAGTATGCCCTGTGCCCTGCGATGGTGGAAGCTTTAGTTCAACAACCTCAGAAAGAATAAGGGTTTTCAAGCCTTATTTTTAAGTCAGCATACGCTACTGAAGGTAAGATTCTTTTGAAAGATGCTGGTGTTTCACAATCAGTCCAGATGAAATTATGTACAGCATAGTCATAGCCCTAGTGCACAATCTATCACAGATTCTCCTTTAGAAGTTTCTTTAAAGGAAGTATTTATGAAACTAATAATGCTATCTGAGTGAGGCCTGCTTTGAACATAATTTTTCTATTTTATTCATTTTGTGTCCAAACTAAATCCATAGTTTAAAGCTAGATTTGTGCATTGTTATTTTCAATTTTATAGTTATACATTTTAATTGTGTTTTCTGTCAATGAAAATTCATTTTTGGAAGCTGTTTGTAAGACTGTAGGTGATATTATGTGAATTAGCAATGTTCTTAAAGGGCAGTTCTGTTTATGGTGCAACAATAACAATGAAATAATAATATGACAAATTACAATAAGAACAAGAGATTAAAATGGAAAGACATTAGTTATTAAAAATGGAAGAAAAGAGCCTTGGCAATGAAGCTCATACTAAAAAGAAATTGTGTACTCTGCCTTACACCAAATATTAACCCAACTATTACATTTAGAACCAATGGAAACTACGGTACTGAATTGCTTCCCAGGGCAAGGTTCAATGTAATACATTATAGCAGCCTAAATATGTGGCTACTCAGTTAGCACAACAATTTAGATTGTTTTTGCATAATGGAGGCAACCAATCAGTCAGCCAAAATTCATTAAAGGTAATCTTATCAAAATATCCTCAATGTATCTTACAAGAGATTGTAGCCAACAGATTGTAACAATTCACAAACATGAATTCTAAATCCATATATTGTAACTAACCAGTCCTGAATACTCTGGTCAAATGCAAATTCTACAGCATGATTCTCTTCAGTTCTACAGTCCCAGGGCAACTGGCAATTGTAACTAATCCATGGATGGTATTGGTAGACCCAAATAGAGTAGAACCATTATATCAACAGGATTTACCTTACCATTAAACAATTCATCCAATGGGCCTAGCCTAGCTGGGAAAACCAATAGGAGCCAGACTCAAATCCTCTTCCTGACAGAGACAAATTAAGCTTGCTGCAGCTGTCACTTCTCTACTTGTTGGAAGGGGACAGTCTGGTCCCCATTTTGCTTTGCTTTTCAGATAGCAATGAATGTTTAGTTAGCTCTGTTCATAGCTTTTGTATGATCATATGGGGGGGGGGGGGATCCACATATACTCCCAAAGAATTGCATGCCTTTTCTTGAGAAGGCAGATACTATCAAAGATAAATATTTTTTTTCCACTCCTTCCAGCTCAGGTTAGAATAGAAGAACTGTGTTGACTTCAGCCAGAGGCCTAATCCAGTCCAAAACTCTTGTTCATACAGTGAAAAATTAATTGTCTATGGAAAATTAGTTGTCAATGGTGTACATGAACTGTAACAGGAACTATCTGACTAAGAAATTAGGCCCCCCTTCCCATCTATTCTTTGTCATTTCCATCTGTATTGTTGATTTTATATGTATACATTTGGATAATATGTTAATCAGGTTTTTTTATTTTATCAATTTTATGAAATTTACAAGTGTAATAAATAAACATAATTAAAATTGCAGTGCAAAGCTTTCCAAACTGTCTGATGTGACACATTAGTATGAAAGCTGCAGTGTAGGTGTGTCCTGCAAATGTAACAAGAAGCCCAAGTCTATGTGAACTAAGCAATAAATCATATATTTTAAATATATATATAAATTAAAGGCTTTCACTAGATATGTTGTGTCCCCATACACGTCATTACTATCGCTCAGAATTTGAACTTTTATTAGCCAATCCTCCCCTTGCCCCCTCCCCCGGACCAAAAGGACTGATTTGGGCTAGATAGACTGGACCAGCTGGACGCCTTCTTGGCAATCTTTCATCAGCCCATTGGGCATTCCTTAAGGACAAACTGAGTGTGGGGTAGATTGGACTAATTGTGGCGCAGCTGGCTGAGTGTCAGCTGCATTAAGATCACTCTGACCAAAAGGTCATGAGTTCGAAGCCAGCCCGGGTTGGAGTGGGTTTCCAACCAATTGTGTGTAGCCTGTTGTCGACCTTTGCAACCCGAAAGACAGTTGCATCTGTCAAGTAGTAAAATAAGGTACCTTAAAGTGTGGGGAGGCTAAATTAACTGATTTATGAGGCCATAAAGAAGACTCCAGCAAAGCATTCCAGTGGGGAAGCACGCGGGAATGCGGAAGTGCTTCATCAGCGTCTCAGATGGACGATTAAAAGCGACAGCTTCCCTAGCGGCCAGAAAAAGTTAAATAGCCTCTGTGTATGTCTGTATATGTTGTATGTTAAAATTGGTATTGAATGTTTGCCATATATGTGTACACTGTAATCCGCCCTGAGTCCCCTGCGGGATGAGAAGGGCGGAATATAAAAGCTGTAAATAAATAAATAAATAATTTTAGGTGGGGGTGAGCTCTGTGTGACAATGTTTTGAAGGTGTTGAGCTACTATTTATCAGGGCTGGGCTGATAAAGCCACTGGACTGTAAGACCTGTAATCATGCTTCAGTGCAATGTAAGTTTGATATGTTCCCACTCAGAACTCCCACTCAGAACTCCCATGACCAATAGAAAATACTTAAGGCCATCCAGTCCAACTCCTTTCACCAGGGCAAGAAAACGTAATCAAAGCCCTCCTGACAAAGAGCCATCCAGGCATAGATATAGATAGATAGATATGATTCACACACACACACAGAGAGAGATAATATCATAGATTCCATCAGAGAGCCACTTCACTTAGCAGCTGTCAATCCACTTCAATCTTTTTCATACCATCATAGGGCCACTTCACCTAGCAGCAGCCCATCCACTTCATTCACTCCTTTTCATTCCATCAGAGGGCCACTTCACACCTTATTGGGTTTTTTTTAGTTCAAACCCAAGTTGGGTGATACAAACAAACCTGCATACATGATTTGACATGTGTGTGTATATATCCCAAAGCATGTATGTAGGTTTGTACAAGGGCTCCTACTTGGCTTGATGGATATGTGTGTGTGTCAATTTTAGGAGAAACCATGAACAATATCCATCACAATTTGCACTCATCACACTAGAGAATGAATCCACTTTAAATCTGGTTTCTGCCTCCTGCAGAATTCTGAGGTTTGTATTTTAGGGAGGAGCCTTTAACAGCCTCACTAAACTACAAACCCCAGAATTCCACAGTAGAAAAGTGATCATAGAGTTGGAAGAGACCTCATGGGCCATCCAGTCCAACCCCCTGCCAAGAAGCAGGAAAATTGCATTCAAAGCCCCCCCGACAGATGGCCATCCAGCCTCTGTTTAAAAGCTTCCAAAGAAGGGCTTCCACCACACTCCGGGGCAGAGAGTTCCACTGCTGAATAGCTCTCACAGTCAGGAAGTTCTTTCTAATGAACATTAGGAAGAACTTCCTGACTGTGAGAGCTGTTCAGCAGTGGAACTCTCTGTCCCGGAGTGTGGTAGAGGCTCCTTCTTTGGAAGCTTTTAAACAGAGGCTGGATGGCCATCTGTCGGGGGTGCTTTGAATGCAATTTCCTGCTTCTTGGCAGAGGGGTTGGACTGGATGGCCCATGAGGTCTCTTCCAACTCTATGATTCCATGTGAGATGGAAGCCATTGTTCTGTGTCCTAGTCTCCAGGGCAGCAAAAAACAAGCTTGCTCCCTCCTCCCTATGACTTCCTCTCACGTATTTATACATGGCTATCATGTCTCCTCTCAGCCTTCTGTTCTTCAGGCTAAACATGCCCAGCTCTTTAAGCCGCTCCTCATAGGGCTTGATAATTTTAGTCGCCCTCCTCTGGACACATTCCAGCTTGTCAAGGAGGCAGAAACCGGATTTAAAGTGGATTCATTCTCTAGTATGTTGAGGTAATAGGATGAGTGCTACTCA